ATTAAGTATGTAGTATGAACATGCTGGTAGATGGTTCCAGCCTCTTTTAATTGTGTGCTTGGTTTTTTGTTCCTTCCTAATGAACCAGAAAAGGTTTGTCTCAGATGAGCGGGGCTAAAATGGAAAGAGAACAAGGACTAAGGATGTACTGGCCTTGGCGAAAAGGCGGCTTTGCAACCTATCCTTTCAGCAACCACACTGGTAAAAGACTGTATGAAAGAAGAGAAAGCTCTCTCAGTAAAGATCTCTGTGAGCCCTCCCAGGCTAAGAGGGCAGAATGGGAAGAAGAAAGTGTCTAGCATGAGCTACGCAAGGAAGTGCAGCATCTCTTATGGGAGAGGGGAGGTCTAAGTTGCAGGTCTCAAAGGTCTAGAGGAAGTTGATAAGGAGGCAGAAACATCCACCTTAGTCAGGAAATCTCACATACCTAAACTAAAGGCTCAGTTTTTACTAATGTCAGATGAGTTTTTGAAACAGGACAACACAAGCACATTTGATGAAAGAAAGCTGTTGAAAGCAAAACTCACTCTGAATTGACCTTTTTAACTTTGCTGGATCAGTCCATGCCAACTATGCTGAGATACCTGTGTCTAGAACAGGGCATTATCACAGCAAGGAGTAAAAACCCTAGGCATTGCACTTAGGCTGTCCCACTCCCTGAGGAATGTCAAAGAGTTTAGTCTGCCTTCTAGTGGAGGTCTGTCTTGGGCCTCACGCTGAAAAGCTCAAGCCCAGCAGACTGCTTGTTCCTCGCACTCTCCTTGCTGCAGACTTGCTGGTAAATCCAAGCTGGTAAATCCAGCTTAGAGAGCTGTGGGCAATTCCAGTGCACACAGATTCCATTTAGGGAGGGTTTCTGGCAGTTTTCTGGGATAAAAACTAATTTAGCAATGTCTAATGCTTTTTTTCAGTAAAGTCCTACCTCAGGGGCCTGTTCTATGCAGCAAGCAAAAGATGGCTTGGTCCAGGTTGCAAATGTTAACGTTAACAGCAGGTGAACAGCTTTAGTTAAAATAACTCCATATTCAGTCCAGAATGAGTTTTCTAGGCCTGGGTAGTATTTAAAACTTGATGAAAGGTAACCCTGGCACAAGGAACTCTCTGGAATATTGACCCTTCCTAGTATGCAAAGGCAAAGCCAGCTCACAGTTCAATGTACCTTGATACACAGGCCCAACTCACCCATGCTTTTCTGATGGTGGTTGGGTTTGTGTTTCAGTTCCTACTGCCCAGCATGGAGAGAGCTGCTCTGTTCCATGCTGATGGCCCTTGCCATATGTAACCTGTAGGCCAGGGCTAAACTCTCCTCCCACTTTTTTATGCATTTAACGGACACACGACACATTTTGTCTGAGCTGCAGAACGGTGTCAGAGCACCACAGAAATAAATGAGCCTTGAGTTAGGCTACTGCAGGACACACTTGCACATTCCCTTGCGTAGCACACCTGGAAATTGGAAGTGAATGTGGGGGCAAAGGAAAGCAGGAAACTCCCAGTACTAGATGGGAAAGCATCACCCAGAGAGGTCCTACAAATGCCATGCTGTAGCAATGCAGAACCAACTTCAGCAAGGCTTTTGACACTGTCTCCCATCACATCCTCGTAGGTAAGCTCAGGAAGTGTGGGCTAGATGAGTGGACAGTGAGGTGGATTGAGAACTGGCTGGATGGCCGAGCTCAGAGGGTTGTGGTGAATGGCGCAGAGTCTAGTTGGAGGCCTGTAGCTATCGGTGTCCCCCAGGAGTCAGTCCTGGGTCCAGTCTTGTTCAATGTATTCATCAATGACCTGGAGGAAGGGACAGAGTGCACCCTCACTCTGTCAGCAAGTTTGCTGATGACGCTAAATTGAGGGGAGTGACTGACACACCAGAAGACTGTGCTGCCATTCTGAGGGACCTGGACAAGCTGGAGAGCTGGGCGGAGAGGAACCTCAGGAAGTTCAACAAAGGCAAGCGTAGGGTCTTGCACCTAGGGAGAAATAATCCCATGCACCAGGACAGGCTGGGGTTGACCTGCTGGAAAGCAGCTCTGCCGAGAAGGACCTGAGAGTGCTGGTGGACAACAAGTTAAGCATGAGCCAACAATGTGCCCTTGTGGCCAAGAAGGCCAATGATCTCCTGGGGTGCATTAGGCAGAGTGTTGCCAGCAGGTGGAGGGAGGTGATCCTGCCCCTCTCCTCAGCCCTGGGGAGGCCTCACCCGGGGTACTGGGTCCAATTCTGGGCTCCCCAGGACAAGAGAGACATGGCCCTACTGGAGAGAGTCCAGCGGAGGGCTACCAAGATGATTAGAGAGCTGGAGCACCTCTCCTAGGAAGAAAGACTGCGAGAGCTGGGCCTGTTCAGCCTGTGAGGAAGAAGACTGTGAGGCGATCTCATCAACGTGTATAAGTATCTGAAGGGGGGTTGTCGAGAGGATGAGGCCAATCTCTTCTCCGTGGTGCCCAGTGACAGTTCAAGAGGCAACGGGCACAAACTGAACCACAGGAAGTTCCGTCTGAACATGAGGAAAAACTTCTTCACTGTGAGGGTGACAGAGCATTGGAACAGGTTGCCCAGAGAGGTAGTGGAGTCTCCTTCCCTGGAGATATTCAAAACCCGTCTGGACGTGATCCTGGGCAATATGCTCTAGAGGCCCCTGCTTGAGCAGGGAGGTTGGACTAGATGATCTCCAGAGGTCCCTTCCAACCTAAACCATTCTGTGATTCTGTGATTCTGTGAACTCCTGGACTGGGATAAACTCCAGCTAAGGTGTTTTGACTTGAAGTTTATACTCTCTAAAGGATGGGTAGCCAATTGGTAGCTTCTGGGTTACAAAAAACTCTCATGGCTCTGACTATAGGACAGTGTTGGCTGAGGGCTGCAGAGCAGTGGGAATCCCAGCTATGCAATGGAGTGAGCCAGCTAGGCCTGTTAAGGACAGCACTGTCCCCGCAGTCACCCCAGATTCGCCTGCATCCAGTGCAGCCATGGAGCAGTGCAACCCCTGGGGAAGAAACATCATTTTCTGAAAGGGACGAGCCTGCGCGCCTCTTCCCTCAGCCCTCCCAGCCACACCATGGCTCCAGGCTCACATATTCGACTCCTATCTCAGCGCTACAGGAGATTCGTGTCTGTGTATCTGCTTATCTGTACATCCACAAGATCCGCATGGAGAAGGGATTTCATAATACCTTCCTTGCTCCTTCCTTGTTCAGAGGGAAATCAAGTAATCTGAAATCATTTCTGGTACAAACAGCCTGTACCCTTGGGTCTGCTTCAGTTGTAGCACATGGATGAGATGAAAAAACAGTTCTATGCCTCCTTCTGTGTCCCCAGGCCTTTCACCACAGTAGGATGTATCTGGTATGTGTCCTTTGCAAGAAGAAATGCAATCTGGGCAGCAGTAATACAGCAGCGTGAACAGAATAGTGTGTGTTGGAGAAAAGCACCTGATAGAATGATTTGTTCCCCTTTTGTTTTGTAGAGCAACATTCAAAGCAGAACTAACAGTCCTGTTTGAACATGCCTCATTTTACACCCATGCTCTGCAAGTATTTTACCTTTCATGCGCACTATGGCCTGGCTATGGTTCTCCCCTCTGGAGTTTCTGGCGTAGCAAGTGTAATTGCGTTTCAAGTCCTCTGGTGTGGCTTTTGCAACCATTAGGGTCCTCGTGATAGTTTTGTCTTCAAAATTTCCAATAATTTCACTGGAAGACAAAAGCTAGAGCATTACACATGTGAAACCGCAGCGAGTTCTTGGTGATGAATACTCCTTCCCTGATGGAACCTGAGCCTTTCTGTAAAGAACACCTGAATTGATACTTAAGAATTGATACACATTTCACATTTTAATATGGAAAATTTCAGCCTTGACTGTTCCTTTATCTGATTTTACTTACATTGTTTTGCCATTCATACTTCTCTCATTGCAGATATGTCACATTGTATTTTAGAGACAAAGAATTTCTTGCCTACAAAGCAACAGATTTTATGAACTCTGGATTCAGAGTCCATCTCACGTTCCCTGTTTAATCCTGGATGAATCACTTTGTGCCTGAACTTATCATCTGCAAAATGGGGATAATAATACTTCCTTTGCCTCTTATTTTCTAATGGATTTGCAAACTGATTGGGGCAGTGACTGCCTTTGACATGTTGTTCAGTACCCATCAAAAGGGATTCTGAACCTCATTTGGGTTCTTCATGTAACTGAACCTCTATTCTTACCTAAGAACGACTACATATAATACTACATTTTTGTTGTTAATCTCTGGGTTTTGAAACATTTTTTCATTTATGCTGTTTTGGAACATTGCTGGAAACAAAATTATGCCTGTCCATGTTTTAGAAGTAAAATCCCACAGTAGATTTGCAAACCTGGGCAATTTAGTATTTGATACTTCCAGTTGCTGTCATCCTATTAGGACCTGAATGAGTGACAGGGGAAAGGATTTCATAAAACCGTCTTTGCTCCTTCCCTGTTCAGAGGGAAATCAAGTAATCTGAAATCCCTTGCAAGGAAAAATGGGAGAAGTGGAGTATCTGGGCCCCAGTATTTGTGGTGGAAGAGCAAGAGTAGAGGGATGGTAGGAGACCTCCAAAGATTAGATGTTCTTTTGTCTGGAACTGTTCACCTAAACACTTCCCTCATGGTTAGGAAAGCCACATAAACACACATCTGCTGGAGTAGTCTTTGAAATACCACTCAGACGTGAGCTGTCTCCTGGCAGTATGGGCAGGACGCTGGGCAGCCCCAGTAGAACTACAGTACTTCTGCACATCTGTACCCAGGAGCCTTCTGTAGGATCCACAGAGAGGATGAGATGATACAAATGAAGGTCGACATTACTAAGTGTTACCTTTGTGTGACTTTTATCTTGGGGTCCATGATGTCATCTGTGTTTTTCCCATCTATAGTCCACCACACCTCAGTCCGGGACTCCTTCAAGAAGGTGAAGAAGACCTCACAGGACAGAACAAGCTCATCTCCTGGGAAGAGAACACAGTGAGGTGGATGGTACACGAGGAACATCACCATCCTGACTCATGCGCTTTCTGGTAACCCTGTTAGCCTGAGCTCTGCCTCTTCCCAGGAGGGAGTAAGGCCAGCATACACCTTCTAACGTCTGATAACGGCTGAACACCCTGGACACACTGATTTGTGACAGACAAGTAAATAGGAAAAAATGTCCTGCCTTCCTAGATACTCTAGAAATTCCTTGACTGCACTGGGTGATCCACCTATGGGAGACGGTCCGAGCCCACCACTTCCTTGGAAAGCAGGGCAGCGTTAATGATCCCAACTGCACAGGAGACAGTTGCCTTAGAGAACAGGGTCCAGTTCCACAGAATCATTTTGGTGTGGGAGCGCTTGCTCAAGTATTTAACTTCCCAGCAAGATCAGGCTTTGGAGCCGAAATCTTTGCGAACCAGACCGTAAGCGACTTTGTCTCACAGCTGGGCTGTGGGAGAACTCTGACCTTTGAGCCAAAAAGCACTGCTTTAAAAGCGAAGACTGCTATTAATCGTCATCGTTGGCACCACACTTATTACAGCAGTCAACTGAGATCAACTCATAACGGGACAAGTTTAGGGAACTGCTCCAAGGAGCTATCCATCTAAACCAATGGGACAGGGAAAGGGGTGTAACACACTATTACAAAATCCTGTGAGGTCAGCAAAAGGACGGTTGCCATTAATTAGGAAGCAACCAGCTAAAAGAAAAATGGAGGGGAGATGAGCAAAATGTGGCAAGAGGGTGAAGCCATTGAGGAGCCAAATGAAGGAGTGTTGGAGCAAACAGCCAGGGACAGGGTTGAGACAAAGTCCTACAGGAATTTCTCTGAGCAGCTGACAGTCTCCATTTTGTTTGCTTCTGCAGCTGCTCCAGCCTGCTGGAGTCCTGCGTTGCCATGCCTGAATATCTCAAAAAAATCTGTGCGCTCAAATAAACTTTTAAAGCTGTGCTCTCCTATTCTGTCACTGAGAACTGGCACCCCACACCGTCTGCCAGACAATCTGTGTCAGCTTGCTTGCTCTGTGAGGAAAACAGTCAGGGAAAGCATTGGGGGAGCAGAGGAAGGAGAACCCCTCTGTGCTTGGCTGGCTGTGTTTCCCCATCCCTGCGGGCAGGCTGCCAGGGCAGGCAGAGCAGGCAGCTGGCATTGCAATTTACCTGGGTCCAGCTCGTAGACAACTTTCTCGTTCGGAGAGGTGAATTGTGGTGGTAAGGCCTTGTTGGGAGACCCTGCAGGAAAGAGCAGAAAGTCCCCCACCGGGGACCCAGACTTCATGAGATTCTGGGATTCTTGCAGCCTCACTCACGATACCCCTCCCACTGCTCATGTCCTGATCTAACTTGTGATACCACCCTACTGCAGAGTTTCATCCAATGAGAACTCTAGTCCCAGCCCCCAAATTCAGTGCCAGACACAGAATCTGAAGTTCCTCTAAAGCTTAGGTACATCTAGATGGAAGGTTTTGGTCCCTCCCACATCAAAACACTCCAATGTCCCTCTGGGTACTGAAGGGTACATCTCCTGTGAGGCACAATCTATAACAGAGTTTCTTTTTATTGCTGCTCCTAAAAAATAAAATACAAATGTGATTTCCTGCCATGGGAATTTAAATCTGCTCTGAAAGCAGCAGTCACCACTAGACGGGACTAGATATGGGAGTGGAGCACATGCTCTACTGTTCCCCAGGTTTCTAAGTTCCTTCTACAATTCACTGCCAGGTAGACTGAGCCCTCATCACTGGCACAGACCTCTCTGAGTGCTGGGCTGGGTAACTGGAGTCAGCAGTCCTGCCTGGCTGAGTGACAGTCTCAGCCTCAGCACACAAGCCTTCGAGCTTGAAGGAAGATTAAGGCAAGCTGGCTATCATGGAACAATCCCACAATTTATGAAAAGCAAAGGGCACTGGAGAGAAATATTAACAATGCCAGGGTTATACATTCACATGCCAGCAGAGGGTACCCCTGACCATGTCACGGGCTGCATGTCACCAGCCTAAGCCTGATAGCCTGCTGTGCTGTTTGGGGCATTTGGTATGGTAGTTGGTAGGACCTCCAGTGCCACATGTCCTCGGCAGTCACATGAGGTTGACCCCAGTAAGCAAAAATATACCAGTGACAGGGGAGAATCAGCTAATACAGACTGAACATATCCATAAGTGGAACCTGTGACTGACTTTTCTAACTGTTTTTACCACTTCTGTTGCTATCCATTTGAAATTTGCACTTTTTTAAAGCCATTCTTACCCACCACCTTCATCTTTATGGTTCTAGTGAGATTATACGTTCTTCCATGGTCCTTGAATGTCACAATACAAGTGTAATTCCCTTCAAAGACGCTGCGAACAATGCCAATAACAAGCTTGGACCCTTGTGGGTATCGCTCATAGAAGCCATCCACCAACTTGCAGTTCTAAAGTCAGGCAGAAAAACATTTGAGTTTTGGGACTCAAATTTGAAGATATTGATTTAAATACTACTACAAAGATCTGTTTTGAAACTATGAATATGATGCTTTGGATTCTGAGGTAGGCCAGACTTAAATGCCACAAATCCTGAGCATGCTGGAATAGGAACTGGTAGGTTCACTTGGAAAATGAGGTGATGAAGCAGATGATCCTAAGAGTTTTATCCCACCTTAAACATGGACAATTTTATAAAAGATAGAGCTATGATCTAGAAGTACATTTTCAAGAAAGGCGAGCATATCAGCAGAAGGAAGTGAGAAAGTAAAAAGAGAACGTGTCCTCAATTGATGTCAGCTTCTCCAACTCTTTTGGGGCTAATCAAGCTACCCTGACTGACATCAGCTGAGGATGAGGCCCCAAAACGGGTAAGTGGCAAAAGAGAATCCATAGTAGAGAAACTTTAATAATGCTTCTCTTCCTGTCAGATGAGGCAGAAAAACTCTGCCCAGAACCAAGCTTTTCAGGAAGAGGTTATGCAGAAGACATCTTGATTGTCATAACGCCCAGAGATTTGCACATTTCCTAAGAGATTACTTCTGAATGGTACATTTCCAAGTCAGATAAATCCTAATGTGGCAGTTTAAGACAGAGGTCATACAATATTTTTTACGTTTTTTATTAGGCAAGCAATGATTTGCTGCCTGCAAAATGATTTTCACGGGGCTTTTTGTTTCATTCTGCTAATTGATTGTTGAAATGTGAATTTCAGTGGCTGATACAATTAAGGCATTTCAACCATCGGAGTGAAACTGATCCTCTTGGCTACAAATGCAAGTTTTTCCTGAGGGGCTTTGGAGTTGGACATCTTTTTTACAGTAGATATATTTGTTGCCAAATTTCTTTATTATTAAATTCCCTCTTACAGCACCTTCTATCTAGAAATCTGAAAGTCTTTTGCAAGCAGAGAATTCAGTCCCATAACTGATGCACCTCTGGCTGCACATCCTCTGAGAATTTCTTATTCTACCTTGACTAAAGGCATCCACCTGGAGAATGACACTGAGGTCAAGATTTAGTAAAATGAGCAGTAATTCTGTATGCTTGCCTGGAGATGGCTGGAAACAGTGTAGTTTTCAGAGCAGTGGGGAGGGGTGATTACATCTTCAGAAAAGAGGTCCACTGAATTGTGTCAAACTGGCTCCCCAAGGCCCTTGCATAGCCCTTGCATGTACAACTTCGTTATATGATCTCAAAGGATCTTAGAAGGGATGCTACTTTCATTAGCTCATGAGGAGGGTTTTTTTTTAACTGAAGAGGGGAAATGAGTCACAGCTTTCTTTACGGGGCCGGTGACTTGCCCACACAGCAAGTCGCGGATACCGCCAGGAACTGAATTGAGGTTCCTAAATCCCTGTTAAAGTGTTCTCCACTTGCACATACTGGTCAAAAAATTTCAGTGTTAGCTCTCAATTTTATACAAATTCCTCCAAGAGCAGTTTAACCCTTGAACTCAATGAAACAAAGTTCTTTATGCTAGCTTGGCGAATTTCAAGAGTTTCATCTCTAGTGAGACCCTGAAATATAGCTCTACAATTCTCATGCCAACCGTTGTTTTTTCAGATGAAACACCACACTCCCCCAGTGCCCAGATAAGACTAACATCCTTCTTACCTTGTACCATTTGACAGTTGGTGTTACACCAGCAGGATAAAACCCATCAATATCTGGGCATATAATCTTCTCGTTAGCGTGCTCCAGGTAGAACATCTCCTCAATGGGTTTTATTGAATGGCTGACACAAGAGTGTTGGTCTTTTGCAACAACTTCCAAGGGAAATGCAACTTTGCTGCAGTAGGTTGTATTTCTAAGGACAGAGGAGGATATGGTTGATTAAACAAGACTGGTTTACTTACTTATGTAGTAATGGAATGAAATAAAAAACATGTCTGTGCTAATGAACATCATAGCTCTGATAAGATATTTACAGCTTCAGTTGACTCATTTGCATGTGAGAAAGAAAACATCATCAGAGATGGCCACACAGTACCTCAGAAAATCCTATAAACATGACTAACAGGCAACATCCACTCCCCTGGTGGTAAAGCAGATAATAGGGTCAAAGACATGATGAACAAGAGACAATGTGAGAAAGAGATCAGAAAGAGCTCTTGTGCTTAGTGCATAGCAGATGCTACGTTCATTTTGTACCACACTTAGAGATACTTTTAATTTCCTAGAAGTCTGAATCTCATGAATCTTTGCCAAATTAGCATCCAGTCAAAACATTACCACTGCATCTGAAGTTATTTTTTACTCCAGACATACAGATCACTTCTTAATGGTGAGTGCTTGTGGATTTTGCCATGGGCTCAGTAATAATATTTTCATGGACACTTGCAGTTAGCAAAGAGAGCATGTTCACTAATGTTTGCAAGGCTCCAAGCACTATTACGATGTAAATTGGCTCAGGGCTGAGCATTCTTACAATTGTAACATTTTTTTCTCATTAATGTTTATGTAAATGATCTTCTCCCTACAGAAAGATCTGAAGCTAACAGCATAATTTTCCTGTTTCTATGAAAGTCCTTTGATTGTGCTGAAGTATGATACAGAAGCTGTACCACACAACCTACCTGAGCATGCATGTATAATTCCCAGTGTCATTGAGAAGGGCAGGCCAGAACCAAAGGGTATCTTTCTCCTTACTGATGCGATTGTCTGGGAGACGGAAGTTAATGGGCTCCTCCAGATCCCGGTCCTGCCCAATCCTGTACCAGATCAAGGTTAAGCCAGCAGAATGGGCTGTACTGTAGTTGTACTTCAGGAAGGTCTCAAAGAGTGGGCATTTGATCTTCGCAGGTTCCCCATCGTAAATCTGGATCTGTTTCATGGTGTCCACACCCCAGTCATCACAGCGTTCTGCAACCAGGAAGAAGAGGTGACTTAGCTTGCAAGTCTGAAGGAGAAAAACAATTCTGCCCACGTTCCCCACAGCCCTTGGTCCTGCCTCCACTGAAATCAGAGGTAATAATCTAGTGTTCTCGGTGGAAGCAATCCTGGATGTTTCAAAGCAGTGCAGGAATACTGTGTTTTGTTATGGATATATCTGCAAGCCTCTACTTTTATTTGTACACCCCCTACACTTCTTCCAAGTTATTTATCCCCCACCTGGACAATATGATAGGCTATTCCTGCATAACACCAGACTTCCTTGAGATCGCTGAGAAAAGTCAAGCCTAAAAATAATCACTGTGGGAAAATAAATTTTGGCTGAAAACAACACTAGAGGTGTGCATGTGTGTGACAGGGGGATGGAAACAGAGGTGTTAGAAGAGAAAAAAATTAACACTGCACACATCAGCCTACCCTTAGAGCTATGAGCCATTGTCACTGCCAGAGGAAGTGGAGGAAGCTAGACTGTGTGTTCTGGGAGCAAAGATTGGCTTTTCTGCAATGTGACTGTCTTGTTGGTTACGTGACTCCTATGCACTATGGTAACACAAACAAACGGCCCGTAGGGACTGTTAACAGTGAAGTTTGGGAAGCGAGGCTGAGAGGCAGGAGAGACGGTGTGGAGGAGGGGACAACAGGTTCACCTGGGGATCACCACGCAGCCCCAGGTGCACTCTCTGAGCGCTGTCCAACAGAACTAGTGCGGCTCACTGCAGATGCTGACTGACACAGAAACTAGGCAGCGAGAAAAACGCTATTCAGTGATTTTTTATTGATTCTTGCCATTAGCGAATGGGATTGGGACCAATATCACATTCAAAAACCATTTGTCTTCAGAGAGCTCCTTTCCACCCCGTTCCTCCCACCTGTCAAGATGCCCCGTCACAAAGGGACTGGATGCAAGCAAAGCACGGTGCCAGGATGCCAGCTAACTTGTGAGCATCCTACACTCCCAGTGCCTGCCGAGACGCACAACCAAGCGGACATCCTTGCACTTCCCGTCTCGCTGTGCTGACAAGGCATGGTGTGGCACGGCACATGTCCCCAGCACATCTCTTGTGGCTGCTGGGAGGCATTAGCTAGGGCAGCCTGATGCCTCAGAGCCCTTAACGAGTCAAATAGAAAAGGGACGCTGCCCTTGTGCTGCCTACAGCTGACCTTGGGAGAGGTGTCTCAGTATACCATGGGCACACCAGAGATGATGTTGCAAAGCCTCTCTGGTTTGCAGATATTAGAAGAACTTGGACAGAGAGAAAAACAGAGTACAATACGCTCTTTGAGCCCAATTCTTCTGAACTGACTTCACAGGCCCAAAGCACGATTCTTGGCATTTTATCTTCCTTAAATAGATACTGCGAGGTAGCTTGGCCCCAAATTCATACTTAATTAAAAAAAGCAAAGGGACAGGCTTACAAACCTTTGAGAAGACGGGGCTCAGTGCTTAAAGGCAGCAATGCTAACTCATGTGGCTCAGCAGTGTTTAGTCACAATGAGGAGGAATCTGGGCCAATAAGAATAGAAATGCTTTCTGGCTGTTTTATATATAAATGTAAACGCAAACTGAGCTGCTCCTCCTATGGTATGCCAAACACCCACATGATGGAGTCCTGCTTCTGGAGAAAGAGAGTGAAGTGCGCTGGGAAGAGGTGGTGAAGCTAATGCGTACAGGTATTCTCTAATAGGAAACAAAAAAAACAAATTGCTGGAGAGTGCAACTAGCTCTTCATCTTAAAAACACATACATATTTCAACAGTTCACAGCATCAGCCAATGCCCCTGCTATCGCAGCCAGCCCAGAAACACATTCTGAATGAGAAAAACTACTGTTGAAAGCATCATACCATGAGAAAGTGCGTAATCACTGATCACTGCCATGGGCAAGGCCAAATGGAACCAGTATGCTGCTTAATACTGGCAGAGACAAGCTACTGGATTAGGCACAATCAAGTTTTCATAGAGTGGCAAACAAGACAAATGAGTCTGCCAGTGACTGCCTGCTAATTGCACGATAAAGCTCTGATTGCTATTTGTGTGAGGCCATTTGTTTTTATAAAGAAAGCCTGTCCTTTTGAAAGGAGTGAGGTCTCAGGAGTTTTAAGGTTCTGTAAATCAGGACATTGGGGTTTTCTTCCCTGCACCTGACTTTGCTATGTCCTCCTGGGCTGCATAAAGGCAAATTGCCCTTATTACTTCAAATGGCAGCACTGGAGAGCGAGAAAACTGTACTAAAAATTACAGCACTGAAATTCTTGGAGTCAAGGAATTTTGCAATCATGAACAGCTCTTTTCATTTCGTAACAGCTCATAAATCAGTACTGTAAAACTACTTACCCCTTCTACCTGAACGAGTAGTTGAAAATAAATACATTGCTTTCAGCTAATTCAAGAAAAAAAATGGCTGGGCTGGGTTTGCTTGTTTGGGAGAGGGAGAAGAAGCTGTTACTGCTCTTCACTATGATAGGAGACGTATGTGACAATTTTGTCTCAGAGCTGCCTAATTCTCACAACTTCAGAAATGCTGTCACACTGAATGGGTAGTCCTAAGGCTCCCCATGTCGGGATGCGGTCACGTGTGTCCTGCCTTAGGATGCTGTGTGCTCCAACCTCAGCCCCAAATGCCAATGTTGGTGTGTAACCACCCCAACAAAGAGCAGCTACACCACAGAGCCCAGAAACAGACACACGGCTTGAGAGCGCAGGCTGCGTCTGCCAGAACGCTAGCAAGGACTATTCCTCCGCACTGTTAGAGGCAAATCAGTTCAAGCCCAGGTCCAAGGGCTCAGGGAGCAAAGCCATGATCCATTGCTCACTGCGGGGATGGTGGACACAGCACGGCACGGGGAGTGGCAATCATATGCAATACACTGGGGCCAGAAATTGTGACTTTCCCCATAACCTTTCTTGCCTTCTCCCTGTGCCAGCCTGACACAGGGAGTGCACAAGTATAGCAAAAGTATTTCAATTTATTAGGTGCTTCTTGCTTGAGACAGCTCAGCTCTGCCTGACGGACAGAGTGCATGGTGTCTCTCACTTTGTGAACTTTGTGAACCTCTTCCTCCTCGGCTGCAACATGGCTCCTTTCCCTATGTTAACAGCACCCTTTGACGCGGTGACATTTTTGTAGCAGGATCCTGCCAGATGGGTAAGCCCAGACAGCTGGCTACACTCCCTATATACATTTGTGCAGGACAGTTGGGTGTTTCTGTTATTGTTGTACAATTTTATTTGCACTCAACAGCTTCCTGTGGTGCTTTGTGCCCTCTCCGCTCTTTTAACCCTCATTGGAGATTCAAAGCCTATTTGCTGCTAACACTAGCATCCAAATATTTGGATATCAGTCTAAACTGGGGATAGCTTAAGAAAGGTTATAGGATTTCACACTGAACCTCAGTGGAACAGAGCAGCTCCCACTGTGGAAAAAATACATATACTTACATATCGATAGATCCTGACCCCAATAATAATATTCAAGAGGGTACGACAGATCACTGGGAGAGAACATGCAAGAACTCCGTTCTCATTATAAGAGATAGCACTAAATTCTATGGTGCCACGCCAGTTTGCACCAATTCATGCCCTCATTTTCACTGGCTGTGCTGAAGAAATGAATTTCTTCTCTCCTGAAATTTTTCCTGCAGAAAATGGAGCTGTTGGGGTTAAGAGCAGCAAAATCAAGTGGGATTGGCATTCACTCTGTGACTTAAGGAACTCACTAAACAAATGGAAACCCACTCAAGAGATGGAAGGAGGCTATATACGATTCCATGGTCCTTTTCACACGGTAGCAAGTGGAACACAAAGCGCATAACGGAAGGAGATGATAAAATTCTAAACATCCACCATCCCGCAAATGCGTTTTCCTCAAAACGCCTCTGCAAAACACCTTTCAAAGAAGTCACCCTTTTCTCATTACTGATCATGTGTACGGCAGAACTCTCAACTGACCCTTTTTTCTGCTGGGTGCTGCAGAAACACAAAGCAGGGCAGTCTATCTCCCATAATGCCTACCACTTAGAGACAGCACAGGAAAAAGACAAGAAAAAAAACATAAATGTTTTATTCATTTCCACTGCATTGACAGCAAACGCAGGCAGCAAGGGATTGACTCACCTAAGATCACAGAGAGAGACTGTGGTGGGAACCAAATCCAGTCCAGTCCCCAAGCCACCAGTCCCAGAGAGAACCAGGTAAGAAGTATCATGTGCTGCAGAAGGGTTAGGAGATCTGGAATGGGAGTCAAAGAGAAGCAAAGAGAGAAGGAAAAGCCAGGTGACATAAGCACTGGTGTGTGGCCCAGGCCAGCTGTTGAGAGGTTGTAGGCAGAACAGACGAGGGTGTTTCTGCAGTCCTGCTTGGAGAAAGGGATGAGGATTATAAGAGAGGGAAGGAGGCTGCATGCTAGAAGGAAAAAACCCACTGCCAGCACAGACAGGGTCACAGTAAGGATGCTGATCTTGTTTCATGTGCCTGGAGATGAAGATGAGAGCAGACTGCTGCCTTCTACTGTTCTCCTCTGATGCTAGTTTGCATGGGGAGGTGAACTGGCAAAGTTAACTTCAAATGTCTTCCTGGCTTGCACTGTATGTTGTGACCCTTGTCCGTGGAGGACATCTACTACTGATAGTAGGGACAGCAACCTCTCCTGTCAAAGAAATTGTCAAAACAGCCCTGTTTCTAAATCTGGTGCTACAACAGCTTTAAACATTGGTCATCTCGAACCAGATTCTTTCTCAGAAGCCAAAAGAACATGAAGAAAATGGCCCCTCCGGACGCAAAGCAGAAAATGAAAGGATAGAAAGGAAAACAACGATGCTGCTCAGCTGCATAAAGGTGAAAACAGACATTCTGGAAACCTTCCTCAACCTTTCACTTACTGCACTGATTTATCCACTTGGGAACAGGCTCTGAATATACATCCAAAATACTCCCTTCCAAGATGCATCTGCAGCACCCAGTAGAAGCACCCA